GGCCGTTTAGTGAGGCTCCTTTCAATTGTCCTTTCTTACATGTACTTTCCACGTAGTTTACAGGCCGTTTAGTGAGGCTCCTTTCAATTGTCCTTTCTTACATGTACTTTCCATGGGGCCTTTCTCATCCTGCATGGAAAGAAGCATGATCTCTACACTTTCTAGTTTGGCCAAGGCACTGGCGTAAAGATTTCATTTTATTGAAACTGCAAAAATAATTTGATGGTTTCGCCAAATGTGTCGTGAAGTAGAAAAATGTAAAAAAAAAATCAAATTTAAGCTCGTGACGTTTTCAAAAAAAGTCCATAATTACCCTGTCTTGCAAGGATTCACATTGTTCTCAGAAACGTCTTCCACGTGTACATAGATGCTTGGCCGGTTATTCAGAAGTCTGGAAAGAATAATTTGCTTATGCTGTACCCAACTTATTCCATTGACTCTGCTTGGCTGAGAGTAGTGATCTTTGTAGAACAGGTAGGTAGATGTCACCGACTGTACTTGTGTATAATGATGTAAGTTGTCCTTCAGGTGAATTCCAAAGTATAGGTCATGTAATCTATTTAAAAAACCAAGGTGCCAACACTGTATCCACACAACAGAAAAACCAAGGTGCCAACACTGTATCCACTGCCAACACTGTATCCACACAACAGAAAAACCAAGGTGCCAACACTGTATCCACACAACATTTGATGATGATACTTGCACCATTTTCTCCAAAAAAGTACCATCTCATATTTATTAAACTCACTAGGCAAAGAAAAAAAGAATCTTGGAAAGTTTCTTTCAGCGCCCCCTTGTATCCAATATGAGGATAACGTTTTTTATTATCAAGATTTACACAATTTCTTTTTCTATATCAGTTCTATCATCAGTCATCAATGCATTAAGCTTTGCCCATTTAGATGACATTACCTGTCTGTAGTTCTGTTAGTTCCGGGAAATCAATAAATGGCTACGTAGTGGGTTATTTTGAACAGCTTTTCCATTTTGATGTAAGCTTGTTTTTGTAGGCCTTTTTTCCCCTATATATATATCCTAGTTAGTGTCTTTTTCTAGTTTGTACTGCAATGAGCAGTAAGTTTCAAAGTTTGTGTGCCGTTTTTTCTGGTTCCTTCTAACATTTTGATTCAATCAGGTCAAGGAGTATTATAAACATACTGATACCAAGTATTCTCGATGCTTGTCTGTCTGTGAATCATGTCAGGTTACATTTATTGACAGATTTTTCATAGCAGGAAAGTTCCATCCTTTTCTTAGGAGCTGCTGGATGATGGCATGCCGCCTCTGATACTGAAGGACCTTCCAGTAGTTTCTAAGCTGTGGTTGATAGCGCTGTTGGTTTATGAAATGCTGATAGCATGTTTGAAACACTGGCTGAAGTTGGTCCGACTAGAATAAAGAGATAGGAGAAAAATAGATTCTTAAATAGATGAACGAATAAATATAAACAATTCAATTATAACATTAAAAGTATATTATGTAAAAAAAAGTACAAAATTTATTATAATATAAAAAAACAAAACAAAAACGGACATTCGTGTAATTATGATAAGTAAACCTGCAGTTAAACCGTAATAATTTATGGATCAGCACACACTCTTTTTGTAGCTAACTTCTTTCCGGAAACTGAAAACCTAAATCCCACAAGCATAGACACGAGATTTGAGTCACTTGTACTTATCCGGGACACGGATTCCGTTATTCCTGGCAAACCAAGCGATGCAAACGATTCACGATTAGCGTGCCCTTGTCAAGTCCAGTTCTCCCTAGGCGATTCGTATGGCATTCAAACATACCACAAGAAAACCGGCCTTTAGATGATATAACTAGTCAACTGGCATATTCTGTTATTTCCAGGAAACGTCGCGTTTTTGGTTTCATATTTTCGAACCCCTCTGGACCTCGGATGTCTTTTATGTTCTCACAGCAAAGGTACTATATCAAGTTTCAT